TCGAAGCATCAGGGCGCATGGAAAATTACCATGCAACAAAGGAAAACAGGCGTACATTTCCATTGACTGTTTTTCAGGGCAGCAGCGCCGTCATGAACAGCTGTAAATAATTGCCAGGGAAGCGTTTGGAGGTAAACAATCATACTTCTACTTGTGAAACATATGGCGCGCGCGCACGTGTGTGCTTAATGAGCCAGATGTGCCATGAGGCATGAGAGCCGAGACAGCTGAAACAGCGTTTTCACAACCTCAGTGCGTTTTTCTGCATCACAACGACGTCTATGGCAAGAGTGGCGTAAAGAGCGCGTTCAACGGAATAAATAAATGCCAGGAGATCTCAGAACCATTGACCTTTTTTTATTTCCTTGTCGCGGTGGCATTAGGCGTGTTTTACGACAAACTCACGGCCATGCCTGCACAGTCCGTGGCCTTGTTGAAAATTCGGGAGTCGCCCGTGCAAATCGGGAGAGTTGACTGGAGCACGTCAAGCTCCTTCGCGAAGAATATACGCTTCTTCCTTCTGTCCTCGTAATTCTTTCATAGGATGCCTCACTGCGATATGGCTGGCGCATGTAAATGGAGTACAACTGCCGTAGACTCGTACACGCAAGGGGACAGGGTGGGTGGTTCTCCCTAATTCCCTAAAGGCGCGTTCACCCTAGAGAAAAACGACACCGATTTCGGTCTGCCGACTGTCTTTGGGAGTATCTTGTCTTGTCGTCGTCCTGGGAGTATCTTGTCTTGTCTTGTCGTCGCTCTAGTGTTATAAACACGCCTTAAAAGAGAGAACAACAAAACACGACGTCAGTGCCATCTGAAATCTAAACGGGAAGGCACGCGAAGAGGCACCAAGGCCTCCAAGATTACCACGCATTATCTCTAATGCCAATAGCCGGTGCGCAGGGTAGCAAATACAGAAACTCCAGCCCACGTTCGAGTTACCGCGCCCACGCATCATGGTCGCATCTTCCGTAAAAGCACGGGCAGCAACTGTTCGTACCTGTGCAGTAGCGTACATTCCTATCGCACGTCAGGGGGTGAAAATCGGTTCAAAGAACCTTGCTCCATTACAGTGCAGGCTAATGGGCCTTAGCCGCGATCACACAAAAGTTCGTATTAACCCCGAAGTTTGTAAAAGCTGTTATTATATCACCGAGGTTTCACGGTATTCTTCTATGCTTACTATATGTACAGTCGTCAAAGGGGACCATCACCCTTTCATTGCCGAATGAAAAAAAGAAGTGATCAGTGACATGCCATTCTGGCTGCAACGTTTTTTCGTGCGCTTGCTTAGATATGATGCTAATCTGGATTTCTTTTCTGGGAAGCAGCTCATGCTCGCAGATAAGCTGTCGAGAGCACTTAGCAGTGAAGGCAGTGGTGACCTTAGAATGTATGGCGCAGCAGTGCATGCCATAAGTATGACATCTTCATTGATCATCGACGGAATGTGAAAGCGCCTTGCCGTAGAACCTGCCGAATACAGCTATTTGAATATAGTGCTGCAGAAGTTAACTACGTTTGAACCAGTAGAGGGCCAGCTATAGCCTTGTCTACCCGAGCTCTCTTCAAGCAATGGTGTCTTGATTCAGGGGCTCTAGGTCACAATTCCGAGCAGCATGAGGTGGTTACACATTTCATACAAACCATGAATCCTAGAGATCGAGAAACGTTTAGCAGGCCTCGTCGTTTAGTTTTCTCACCTGTGATGAACTAAAAATTTACGGCGTTCACTGAAAAGTGCGCCTCAACAAAAAAATCGCAAGGCCTGCGTCGAACGCGCAGCACTGTCACAGCGAAAGCTGGAAGAGTGGCCTTTCAAAGTATTTTTCAAACGCCCTTTAGGTAACTATCACGCACACTTTCAGGGTACCCACTACGCCATGAATCATTGTGTAGTGGGCAGGTAGTCACTATGCCATTCTTCGTCATTCTTCGGAGCAACGGGGTACCTGCTGCTCACTTGCAAGGAACTTTTTGCAATCTTTTTTTTGTGCTGTGCTTGACAACGATGAAGAATTATGGCAGAAGTTTTCGTAATCCCCACAATCTCCTACAGAAGGTATGCGCCGCAGTTATTATGTGAACAAGATTGAACTTTTGTATATCGTTGGATCATTCGACGACGCACTTTTTGCGCAATTCGCATTGTGTGACTCCTGATTATTTATTTGCTGTTCTAAACCGCTTTATTACTCATATTACCGTGATTCCTTTCCGACAACAGGCCTGCCGAAGGCCAGTTTGCAACCGGCGTCGCTCAGTGGCAGAATACTGAGCTGGCCCGCAGGGAATCCGGGTTCAAATTTGTTTGCAGCTTTGGTGTTTTTGTTTACTGAATTTTTGTTGTTGTTATTTCGTGTGATGTTGCTTACGGACAGCAGCGGTGGCGGCGGCGGCGGCGGCGGCGGACAACTATGGCGCGCGCGTGAAGCGTGTTGTGATCTCATTACACCTTTCGCTGCAAAAAAACAGGTGTACAGCCAGCCGAAGCAAGCACTTATGATGCGTTCTGCGCCTGACCAACCCTGGTATGGTGTAGATATAGATATCTTTTGTGATGGCGGGGAGTCATATATGGGTGTCTACGGTGCATTATCAGACATTCTGGAAGTCTACAGAATCCGACACATTATTTCGAGGACCATCACCAGCGCCACTAGTGCTATCTTTGCACGTTATGACATAACAATGGAGGTGCCCTCACACAATGGTCCTCAATTTTTGATCAGTGCATGAGTTCGCTTCATTTGCGTGCATTCACAAATTCAAGCACATTACCTCGAATCCAGGGTTACCGCGTAAACAGGCGCTTAGGTAGAAATGTTTTTCGGAGGGTAAGGGAGGAGGGCACCACCTAGATTTCGGGAAGGGCCCCCCTTTAAAATAGCGATTTTTTGCTCTCTATGCCATGGCAAAAAAATCGAGGGGGAAGGGAGGGCACGTGCCCGCTGTGCCACTTTTTGGCTTCGTCACTGAGCGTAGGATCCACTAGGGCGATCCGAAGAGGGGGTACAGGTAATGAAGAGACTTTTTGAGAAAGTTAAAGAAGCTAAACAGGATTTCTAGTCGGCTCTGTACGCCTACAAGACATCTCCTTTGGATGCAGGACTGGAAACTGCAGAGATGCCTTAGGGCCTTCGGCTACAGACGCGGCTACCCGACTACCAGGGTGGCCTTTCCTACTGAGTATTCGAGCATCGTCAGGCTCGGTCGTCCGCACAGTCACTAACTCCACTCCATGAAGTCAATGTTGTGCAAGTCTAGAGCGGCTCATGGGCCACCAAAGCACTCATTTCGAAGCCCTCAAGTTATCCTATGTCGTAGCACATATTTACGCAGGAAGGGCGCTGTCTCCAGTGCAACGGCAAGCGCTGCTACAAACTGCTTTCAACACGCCTTCGTTCGCAACCGGAGCAACGTACGACACAGTAGCTCTATAGCTGCGCGGCACATCAAAGACGCAGCGGCGAGTAATGACCCAACTACCGCAGGCCCATCGAGTGGTATTACGCCTGCACCCTGAAGGTCGCTGAAAATACAAGACCACCACGATGACTAGAATATCAACTTGATTTTACCCAAATGACTTGAACTCTCTCCGTCTTTCTATATGTTTCCAATTTTTTAATGCGATAGCAAATATAAGAACAATCTCGGCTGACTTTTGCCATCGGCGTCGCCGTCACTCACCGTATATGTATACGCATCTATATATTTATATATGAAAGTGCAAGAAAAATAACAGAAAAACACTCTGGCACGCGGAATCGAAAATGGGACCTCTGCGTCGTGAAAGTGAGGCATTAACCACTGAGCCACACCGAAGCTTGCTGCTCAAATGGCAAGGTATTTATATTGTAGGGGGTTTCGAGGCCAAACCCCGCAGGGAAGGCTCGGAGCCAGACCAGGAACCTTCTTTATTGACCGGAACCCGGGCCGCAGCTGCCCGCTGCCAGCCCCTGCCACGTGCCACCCCGCGCACACCTGATCGTTCTTGTCCTCTTACGGTCGGCGCGCTCGCGGCTGCTGCTCCCATAATATCCACCACTTAATGCTGCTCAAGAGAATCTCGGATGGAATTGTGTTTTCAGCATTACCAGCAAGATGGCGCAATGAGCGCTCGTCACCACATTGCGTGACGGCGCCCACTCTATCCCCTAAGCGTACTTTGCCCGGCTTGGAGAAGGGGAGCGCAGCTGTCTCGTGCACCCTTATCTCGCAGTGGCGAGGAGGGGAGCATCGTACGTCTTGTCTGCCCTCGGGCTTTACCTGGAACGATTTTGCTGTAGTTACCGAATGCACAAAGGTCACTGCAATTATTGCAGCCTCCGTTCGCCAAAAGCGCGCGCTTTGCAGACTCATCGAAGTAATCAATGAAACGTTTATTCGTGTGCACCCGTACCTGTGAGCACATTTCGTGCGTAATTTGTGCGAGAGAAACGCGGGGCACGTTTCGATGTGCTTTCCATTCTGCACGGGACCTTTCAATTTGTTTCTATTGTGTTCATTGCTTCGCCTTTGCAGCAAATCTGTGACTTTTATAAAATGTCACTTCAAGCCATCATGTTTCCCGCATATGTAAATAACCACACAGTTTCTTCGTGTTTTTCACTGTAAAAATCATGTATCGACTAGTGCCTCACTGCTGCACTATACATACGATAAGCTTCAGAGGTGTTTCCCCAGAGTGTACTATAAACGTGACTGACTGAATATCTATCTATCTATCTATCTATCTATCTATCTATCTATCTATCTATCTATCTATCTATCTATCTATCTATCTATCTACATAGCTAGATAAACATATATTATCGAAGAACGAGATTCAGACGCACCACCCGTTCGCTGAGCTGGCTCTGCTTTACCTGCCCTCGTCTTCTCGGGCTGCGCGAGCTCGAGAGCCAAAGCGTTTGTGTGTGCCTCGAATGGAAAGAAGGCTTTCTTGTGTTCTGGTCTGGACATGCCGGTCTCCGTGCCTTTTAGAAAAATTAACCTTTTATTTCACCTTTTTTATTACTTTTATTATTGCAAAACAAAATATATAACGATGTCGTCACTCTGAACAAAAGTGCGTAATCATCCTGTTTCTTTTCAGAGACTCGTTTTATGAGGCAGTGGGTAGCTGTGCTTGCACACCCATTGTTCTGTATGCACGCAGGTGGTTTTTCACGGCGTTCGAAACACTCAGCAGCAACCTTGGCCAAGTTGTCCAGAAACAAGTCCTGTTTTGTGCGCAAATCACGCTCCTCATATCAAACACATCCTGGACCCTTATGAAACACTGCATCACGAGCGCTGACGAGGCACAGCCCGTAGGAGCAATGGGCCATCGAAGAAAGGGAGTATTTGTCCAGGCTTCAGCTTGAGTGGAATCTGTTGAACAAAATTAACAACAAGGGTTAACGACTCGAGAGGTATTTGAGCACATTTTTTTTTTTTGCCACAAAAAAAGCATGAGTAAGTTTCGCCCTAAGGGTGTTACTGACATCAGATGAAAAGCGTCATTCATAATGCTTCATCAAGGTGAAGTAATTTTCTTTGTATTAAAGCTTCTGAGTAGGAGATACGCTTACTGAGCATACACAACAAGAACCGATTGGAATGAGTGTCAACGTTACGTTGACCATATTCCAAAGTGGGATTCAGGCTTGTAAAACGCACGCATTGTGACCTATGCATTGTAGGAATTGTTCTGTACTAATGATAGCAAATAGTTTTCATAAGGTAAGTTTACCAGCTTATTCCTGATGTGCTACGTAATTTTGATTAGCGGACTAAATCAACATTCCGCCAAGTTCCTACCATTGAAAGAAGCTGACGTCGAGATTTTTCGCGCTTTTATGGAACGCTTTACTGCTACATGGCAATCGGTTCCTTTATAATGAAGTAAGAAATTGTGTTTATAGGATTAGGGTAGCTCTAATTAGCGTATTTATTTGACGTCTGAAAGTGTATGAGCAACATGTAGGCATGGCGTCAATTTGTTTAACACAATGTCGGGTTCAAGAACTGCGTGAAGATGATGGCTCGTGTGTGCACAAGAAAAAATAAGCGCCGATGAATTATGCGGAAATAACTACTACATGGAGTTTTTTTTTCTTGAATAAGCTGTAGATAGGACGAGTTTTTTACAGACAGCTTTCGAGCGTCAATCCACTCAAATTCAAAACAAAGTTATACCTTTTCCGAGGTCTAGTGATCCACTAAGAACATTTGTTAAATGAGTGCGTGGCGAAATTCGCTACTGTTACGCTAATTGAACAACAATCGCATTATTATAGCACACGTTTTGAAGCCAGTGCCCGTATATTGTAGTCACGTGTTAACCTTCATTGTATGCTAGTCTTATACTACAATAGAACGAAGTAATTACATTTTATTCTATCCACTGCTCACTACTGGTAGATTCCGTTAGTGACGTGCCAGGCTGTCACTATTACCGCTGGTCAATCACAGAAAGCATGTATTTTGAAAAAGAAAAGTGCGTGTAGGCCAGTTTGTGATTCATGATTTGCAAAGGTAACCACAAAACAAACGACATAAGAAGAAACAACGCCGACCACTTCGTGTTGTTTCTTTTCTGTGTCCCGTGTGGTTCTGCAGTTGCCTTTGCAATAATCGTTAAAAGACATGAGCAACCGGAAATGGTTCATCTACAAAATACCAACCCGACATTGTACTTCCATTCATATATCTGTAAGTTATCGCTAATCGCATAGCAGCTCTTGATGCATGTATTTCCTCTGAAAATGGAATAGTTCTTTGGTGACACATCCAGCGGAATAATAAATAGAGCGTGAAGAGTACATATTGAATAATTCACGGTTTAAGTTCAGAAGTATCGATTAATACAGGGAAAAGCACCTTAAGAAACCAAACCGTAAAGGGCACACTTATGGGCTAGCTTGAAAAAAAAAATAATTATTATAACGTGTTATTAAACCTAACTTTTCGAAGTGTATTTGACTAAAACAAAGGAGCATTTTAACTCTTACCATTGTTTCAGGGCACGTTTCGAGCCTGACGTGCTGAAGCAGGCAGGCGAGAGTTGTCTTCGCTTGGACCATGCCGAGGCGCATGCCGACGCAGTTGCGAGGTCCGGCACCGAAAGGCATGTAAGTGAATGGCTTTATGGAGTCCTTGTTTTCTGGCATGAACCTGTTGCCAAGAGTTAAACATACTACATGAGTAGTTTCACCTACACGGGAGATAAGTGTTATGCAAAGCATAAAAATACACCAAACGTAACACCATCGACATCGAAATATTCTGCTAGGAGAGAGAAACGCGCAAGAATCCCATAACAACAATTCGAAGTCAAATGTACCACAACAATACAACATCAAGAGAACAATATATATTACAGGCATTGTCATTCTTATCAAGCCATCTTTGTTAAAAGTTCATTGAATTGAGACTATGTACCATTTGCGTCAGCATAAGTGGCTATGTCTGCATTTAAAGGCGTCCTGCAACACTTTTTGAGCATGGTCACAAAACAATACCGATCGGCAGTAGAGGCTTCATAGAACACGCGAGCCGAATATTATAACGCAGAGCGCACGTCCTGCAATTCCCAATACATTATCTCGACAAATGACGGAGGAAACTCGAAAATCTCTTGTAGACGACGGCCATCTACCAGGCATTGGCTGATTTGAACATGACGCTCTCGGTCGTAACAAGGATCACCGGGAGGGCGCGGGAGGGCGCGTGCTATCACACTGAAAAAGCCATGTATTTGAAAAAGAAAATTGAAAAAAAAGAGATGCTCAAGGTCACGAGGCGTGCGTGCCCCCCCCCCCCCTCTTTTCCCATTTTCCCACTAAGTTTCCAGCGCTTTCTTGAAAACCAGAAAGCGGCGAGTGCGATTGCAGCGTGCGACAAATCATTGTAAATCCACTTTTACTGGACGAAAATTTTTGCGGCATTAAATTCATGAGGAAATAAGCTCATTTAGTGAATGCATTCCAAAGTCACTTGAGAAAGTATTTCAGTGCCGCTTTAAATTCCACCAATGTTGCACTCGGTTTGCGAATGAGAAATGCCGGCTGCGTGGATATTTATGCTTTTTTGTGAGAAATGCAGTGGGAAGGAAGGAAGGAAGGAAGGAAAATAGAGGGAAAAGAAAGGCAACGAGGTTAACCAGCCTATAGGCAGCCGATTTGCTACCCTGCGCATGGGAGAGGGATGGGGGAGATGAAAGAGAGCGGAGAGGGAAGATAGAAACAGCACATTCGGCAGCACACGCGCGCACACTCAGTCATAGTCCAGTCTTGTCTTTCGCGGTGTGTGACATTGCTGTTACAGTCGCTTGTTCAAGTCGGTGTCGCGTAGGAATTTCAACAGAGCTTTCGTCGCCTTCTGTTGCAATGTCTTCTCTCGGGCACTTGACAGAATAGTGTCCACAGACATTTGGCTGTTGTCGATGCGCGCAAAAGCAGACGCCAGTGACTGTCTCTGGATTTCATACAATGGACAGTCACACAGGATGTGGTGTAGCGTCTCTTCGCAATGACAGGCATCGCAGAGAGCGTTGTCGGCCATTCCTTTGACAAAGGAGTAAAATTTTGTAAATGCCACTCCTAGCCATAAGCGATGAAGAAGGGTGGCTTCTCTTCGGTTGAGTCCAGTGGGCATGCGGAGAGCCATCAAAGAGGACAGGTGGTGTTGACGATTCGTATCGATGCTTGGTGGGCACCATAGTGAAAACGTGATTTCACGCGCAAGTCGTCGAAGATTACTGGCAGCATCAATCCTCGAAAGTGGTATGGCTTCTTCTCGTGTTCCTTCAAGGGCTGCCCGCGCGGCAGTATCGGCATGTTCGTTCCCTGTGATGCCGCAGTGACTTGGCAGCCATTGAAGTGTCACATGATGCCCTTTCTCGAGTAAAGTGTGGAGAAGGCATCGAATTTAGAAAACAAGCTGTTCGTACGGGCCGCGACGCAGTGCTGAGAGCACAGATTGTAGGGCAGCCCTTGAGTCGCTGAAAATCGACCATTGCTGCGGTGGTTCTCGATTGACCACACAAAGTGCAGCGCGCAGAGCAGCTAGTTCCGCTGCTGTAGATTGCGTGGAGTGGTCAGTCCTAAAGCTGATGGTAACACCTCTTGCTGGGATAACTACTGCCCCTGACGAATACTGGTGGTTCGTGGAACCATCGGTGTATACATGTATGCCGTCTGAATATTTCTCGTGCAAAAGAAGAAGAGACAGTTGTTTCAGCACGGGCGACGAAAACTCAGATTTCCTCCGCATCCCTGGTACACTAAGATGCCCTGTGGGTCGAATAAGACACCAAGGTGGCATGGATGGTTTGGATGCATGAGTGAAGCCCGAGGGAAGTTTATCGTTGTATTTCACGATAATTTTGGCGAACGATGCTTGGCGCCTCTCTGAAGGCAACAGTGCAAGGTGATGGCCGGAGGCACGTGCGAAGTGTCGGATGGGCGTTCTCAGGACTTCTACAACAATGTGAGTTTGTATCGGATAGTCACCAACAATTGCAATTGTTGCTTCTGTTGACGTACATCTGGGCAGACCAAGGCACACTCTCAGCGCTTGGGCTTGTACTGCCTGTAAAACACGAACATTGGTCTTGCAGGTATTGCTAAGCACGGGCAAGCTATATCTGAGGTAACCGAGAAACAGGGCCCTGTAGAGTTCCATCATTGCGTCTACTGACATCCCCCACGTCTTTCCTGCCAGGAACTTGAACAGTTGAAAAATAGCGGTCAGGCGCTTCTTCATATAGGTCACATGCGGACTCCAACAGAGGTCCCTATCAATAATAATGCCCAGAAACCGGTGGGGTTTGGCGTAAGAAATCGGTCGCCCGCAGATTGAGATGACATAAGGGGTCATTGCTTTGCGAGTGAAAGCCACCAGCGCGCATTTTTCTGGTGATATGCTGAGACCTTGTTTGAACAAGTAGTTGGCAATCATAGTTGCTGCTTTTTGAAGCCGGGAACGTATCTGAGGACGTGTGACTGCCGATGTCCAGACACATATGTCGTCTGCGTATATTGAGATTTTAATGGTGCTTGGCAAGTATTCAGCAAGACCAATTAGTGCAAGATTGAATAGCGTCGGGCTAAGAACTCCGCCTTGAGGAACACCCCTGGAAGTATAGCGTCGCGTAGTTGGGCCATCTTCTGTTAACACAAAGAATGATCTTGCAGCCAGGTAACTCGAAATCCACCAAAAGACTCGACCACCAAGGCCAACCACCGCAAGAGCACCCAAGATGGCTTCATGTAGTACATTATCATAAGCGCCTTTCACATCTAAAAACAAAGCTGCAGATAGTCGCTTACGGGATCTTTCGTGCTGAACGTACGATACTAGATCAACGACATTGTCAATAGAAGAGCGGTCGCGTCGGAAACCAGCCATTGAATTCGGATAAATCTTGTAGTATTCAAGATACCACTCCAGGCGGCCTAGTATCATCCGTTCCATTATCTTCCCTACGCAGCTGGCCAGTGCTATTGGGCGGTATGAGGTCAGTTCGAGTGGGGATTTGCCCTGCTTCAAGATGGGTAACAAGCGGCTTACTTTCCAGTCATGAGGAACATTGCCATCCTGCCTCGAGATGTTGTAGAGGCTCAACAGTTCTCTCCTTGCACCTTCCCCAAGGTTGCACAGGGCTCGGTACGGAATACCATCTGGGCCCGGAGAAGTTGAACGCCTGCAGAGAGCTAGTGCCGCCTCGAGCTCCTTCATTGTAAAAAGGAGGTCCATGTGGTAGTCACGGGAACGGGGGACGTCACCTCTCACTGGAGAATGTGGACGAGTGGCTTGGTTGGCGATCTGCGCACAGAAATCTTCTGCGACATCGATGCCTTGCCTCCGTTGAAATAGCGCGAGCGCTTTGAATGGAAAGTGCTGTTCCGTAGGGTGACGCAGACCTTGCACCGTTTTCCAAATGTGTGAGAGTGGCTTGCGAGGGTCTAGTGACTGGCAAAACGTTGTCCATCGTTTCGACGCTAATCTATCCATGCGACGCCGAATCTTCTTTTGCATCCTCCTGGCTGCCCTAAGATCGTGAATTGATTTTGTTCGCCGATACCGACGCTCCGCCCGGCGTCGCAGTGCTCGGAGTCGCTCCAACTCTATATCAAAGTCGTTTCGCGTGGAAGATATTGTCACCGTGCGAGTGGCGTTTTGCATTGTGCTCCTAATTGTTCCCTCTAACCCAGATCGTAGGCCATCGCTGCAAGCATCTTCCATGGCAGATTTGAAGTTGGTCCATTGGACTGCTCGAATGGTCGTCCGTGGACCATAACTAGACAAGCCTTTGATGTTAAGGTAGATTGGAATGTGATCACTTCCTCGTGTCTCAACATCTGGAAACCACTTGACGTATCTCGCGAGGGAGTTGGAGACAAAAGCATGGTCGAGACAGCTGCCGTATGTCACCCCTCGAAGAAAAGTGGGGCTGCCGTCGTTCAGGAGAGTAAGGCCATAGTTGTAGGCGATGTTTGCTAACCTGCGTCCTCTTGCGTTTCTCCGCGTACTTCCCCATGCGTGACTGTGCGCATTGAAATCACCTATGAGGACCCATGGTGCAGGACACACTCTCAAAATATCCGCTAATCTCCTGGAATCGAGATTACTTGACGGCGATATATAAACGCCTATGAGAGTAAACATGAGTTGGTTCTTTTTCACAGTGATGCAGACATACTGATTGTCATCGTGAGGTGCAATTGGTTGCACAACATACGTCAGTTCACGACGAACAAAGACGATAATTTTGCTGCACGCACCGTTCGTTGAAGACATGACAGCTTCGTACCCCGATAATCTTATTGGTTTCGACAAATTGGGTTCACAAATGACAATGATTGGAAACACGTTGGTAAACACAAACTGACGAAAATCTGAAAGGCGTGATTTTAGTCCTCTGGCGTTCCATTGGATGACGGATGCAGCCTTGACTTCTTTACGAAATGTTGAGGTGTGAGTAGCCATCTTCCTAGTTGAGATATTCAAGCACTGGGCTTAGGGCGTCCAATAGTCCAAGTGCGCTTCGAGCAGATGGTGTCTCCATGTCGACTAATATCACTCGGATGGCTTCTATAAGGAAACGCAGCACCGAGATCACTTGACGATCAGTTTTAGGCAAATCTTCCATGGTTGGAGACGGCTCTTGTATGGCCACAACCTGCAGAGGTTCCTTGGCAGAAGAGCACGTCGGGAGCGTGGGCCATTCCTCCAGAGAAGGAGGCTTCTCTCTTTCTTTCGTAGAAGTGGTGGGCCCTTTCGCGGCGCTACTGGATAGAACCGCTAAAGAGTGGGAAGGAGCGTCTTGGGAATGTGCCTTCTTTGAAGACTTTCGATGATGCCGACGTCGACGCCGACGCCGGACTACTTCGGCTGCCTCCCTGTGTGTTGAGTTGTCTCGTGCCATTTGTCTGAGAACCGCGCGCTCCTTTTGGATTCGAGGACAGTCTTTCGACGAGGCAGCATGAGGACCGCTGCAGTTGGCGCACTTCAGAGTAGTCGCCCGACAGGCGTCTTCAGCATGAGATTCAGCGCAGCGGGGACACAGTCGTAAGTTGGGGCATACGCCCTTGACGTGTCCTAGCCTGAAGCACTGATGACATTGAAGTGGCTTTGGGATGAATGGTCGAACCGGATGTCGAAAATGTCCAACTTTAACGTGGGACGGTATGCAATCTCCCTTGAAGAACACTTTTACGCAGCGCGTATTTCCAAGGCGCCGCACTTGCGTAATGACAGTTCCCTCGTTTGCAGGCTTGATGAGGGTAGACAAGTTAGCATTAGGAATGGCAGTGTCGATGTCATAAATTACACCGGCAATTGATTTGTCATCCATCGGGATAAAGGGGCGCATTTTAATGCCACCTAGCTCAGTCATTTGCTGCAGCTGTCCTAGCGCACTCACATCGTGCACGTCTATGGCGAGAATGTTCTTCCTTGGGTTTACTCGTACGGGAAATGCAGTGGGAAATTTGCCTGTGGCATATAAACATTGCATCTTTGTGAATATTTGTGTAGTGAAAGCTGGCCTGTTAAAGAACACTTATATTTCAGTACTCTGGACATGTGGATGTTCGTCGACTTACTTCTCAGTTGAACTTCGTGCTTGTTCAGAGCTTTACGGTGATAGCTATCATGTTCTGTTCAGCTTGATACTGCTACCGCCATTAATTCTTAATCATATAATGCGAACGTTTTCTCTGGTCCCAGCAAGCACGTGCATTGTTTACTGGCATCAGGCTCTCGTTAATGCTGTCATTTTTGGCCGAACCTTGTTTGATTCAGCCTACCATCAGAGTGCGTCACGCACGAAGCACCGCAAATGACGAAAAGTGGCGTTCGTAAACAACTGAAACGGCTGCGAGCCTTAAGAAAAGCGTGGTCGCCATCCACAATTTTACCACAAACTTATGTTGGCAACCTAGGGTACAGCTCCGCTGGCAATCTTGCTTCTTGTTTTTTTTTCATTTTTTCTTGGCGCACGTGAACGGCGTGTACGCTAGCTGCAATCACGCCGATAGTGACAGTGGCCTACGAGCGATTGTTTCGTTTTCACCAAACGCCTTCAAAACCACAGAGTTGCAGTCCATGACCGTGCATTGGTGAGCCAGGTTTACTCAGCAGCAGATGCGAGGCTCGGTAGTTCCATTACGACTTTGCACGTAGATCTCGCGCGCACTTTAAGAACAGGAGACGCTACGATCGTGTCTTTATCGACGACGGTTTCGTTCACAGTGCAAGCGAGACCCAGCAGCTTTCTGTTTGCTTAAGGCAATGGCTTATTAAGGCACGCGGTATGTCACAAAACTTGAACCTGGTGGAAGCTGTAGATGTTGACGAGAATTAAAGCGTCCGCGTAAGGGTTAACGAGTAAGAAATCACTCGTATACATTGTGATGGACGAACGATCACTAGCCGGCAAGTTTTCCGGCAGAAAAATTATCATCACGTGCACCTTGTGGCGTAGGCGGTGGCTTTATGTACTAGGAAGCTAGTCCAGGGCACACCTTCACTTAATACACGGGGAACTTCAAGCACTGTCTCGTTATGAGCTAAGTCAAGAATAAGAAAAACCGCGCCTTTTACAGTGTTCTTATGCAAAGTATGAACTGGGTTCACGCATTCACCAAGAAAATGAGAATGCATGTACAGAATAGACCCCTTAATTTTTTTTCTCGGTACTTTCCATCATACGGCATTCCATTAATACGGACATCTTTTCCGCTTTCACGAAATCCGAATGATCGAATATTCACTGTACAACTCTCTCTGAAAACATTTCGTTATTCTGATTCGAAAACTTTTGAAATGTGTAATTTGATTGCAAGTGACCATTTGTAACTCGTGACAGTAGTTTAACAGTACATTGACTGACTGGCAGCGAAATGATAACGTTTGAATGAGATGGTTATTTTGCAGGTGAAGGATATGAAAATTAAATGGCTACAAGGTCACACATTTTATCTCAATCAAGTGAAAGCACCTCCAATGCATATTGAATTTCTTTATGCATTAGACTCAGTCCAAGTGATGACAGCATGCATGCGGTCAATGAGATTGTGAAAACAAAAGCAGTATATCTCGCAGGCTGTTTATTTTGCATAACACCAGGGTACCGTACCTGTCTGGGTTGAACTTCTCCGGTTCAGGAAAATTTTCCGGATCATGGTGGATTCCTGCCACGGGAATGTCTACGGACATTCCCGGCTTGAAATTAATTCCAGCCACTGTGGTTTCTTCCGTGCAGAGGCGCACGAGGCTGCAGTGAAAGGATCATGCAGAAAATTGTGTACTTTAGCAATACAAGCATCGTCGACATATTTTCAGAATGCCTATAGATCTAGAAAACTAAGTGTTCACGATCACGTCACTTAGTTGTTCTATTATACGGTGTGACCACATTACTTAGTGCTCAGAGTTCGCAGTGACATTATCACATAAGGGAAGATGGCGCCAGATTATGGATACGAAGATTAATATTTCAAATTGGTCTTTCCAGTGTTGTGAGAAATAACCACACCAAGTGAGACATAAGCTCTGCAATGCCCGAGCGTGCACTACCTTTACGACATACGCACCCATGCTGAAATGCAAGGGCTTGATATTTCATAGGGTCTGAATTCGCAAAGCTTTATGTTAGTTCTTGCTCTTTGTCTATGAACGGACGGCTTTCCCCGTGTTGATGGCAGCCTGAGAATTTGCAAATACATTGGCTTGAATACAAATGTAGCATAAGGTACCTTTGTGAATAAGGGTCCTCACTTGGCAGTCACGAATAAGTTTGCTGTTTGTAAAATGGCTTAATTGAGCAGGAACATAATTGTCATGGTTATGCTTCCATTAATTTTTATTCCCTTTAGTTCATTCCCAATTTCTTGGACCAATGACCTTCTGAAAAAGTGTATACTCATTAACAGCATTTTAGTGTTGAAGGAGCTCTTACATTTTTCCGCACATCACTGAATGTGCCGTTTGCAGTAATAATAATAATAATAATAATAATAATAATAATAATAATAATAATAATAATAATAATAATAATAATAATAATAATAATAATAATACTAATAATAATATTAATATTAATATAATAATAATATAACTATATTATTATTATTATTATTATTATTATTATTATTATTATTATTATTATTATTATTATTATTATTATTATTATTATTATTATTATTATTATTATTATTATTATTATTATTATTATTATTATTATTATTATTATTATTAAATTCCTGGGAATTCTTTGCCCAATCGAGGATAACATTACAAAACACGCCGTAGAGCAGGGTCTTAAAAGGTATCACCACCCAAGCTTCTTTAAGATACTCCTAAATCCAAGTACGTCGTACCCTAGCATTTGTCCTATACCGCAATCGCATATGTGGGACATTGCTGCAGCTATGTAGTGTACATGTAATGTTACACTACTATAATGCACTGCAAACTAATTATACAAGGATACGACAGAAATAGTACATGCTCTGATGCTTACATTGAGTCGGGAGTACAAAGTCTCAACGCCTCTTTGAAGCAGGCTTCAAGGTAAGGCATCTCCTGCAGGTTATCGTACGTGATCTCCCCCTGAAACAAAGGCTTGTATATTAGCAGTTAACAATTTTGTTTGCTTCTTCACATAATTATATGGTACGGGTTAAGGGAGAGTGAGCAATAATTTCGACTTATCTTGCCAGTAGTATTTCCGCACCCTTATAAGAACGTTCATAGGAATACGACGTTCTGAGAAGACGCGTTAACATATTCCTTTGACTGTTGCTTTTGGAGAAACTGCAGCGAGTGTGAAGCGTTATTATTACGCGACTTCTCAGCATGAGAAACAATACCCGCGTGTGAAAATAAATGCACTCTTGAGACACACAGAGAGATAAAAAAGAATGAACTAGAAGGCTGTTATGTGAAAAGGTTGACTGTTTTCTACTTTACAGATGTCCGCTTGTGCATGGTGGCTTTGTATCTCTTCCAATGTATGAGGCCGCTGAGCACTTAATAAAAAATGTGCAATGGTAGTAAAGCAATTACAAATATTTTCATTCCTCGTGTTGTAGGATGTTTATGACACACAAGCACACTGCCCCGCTTAGAGACCTCCACACTTCTGGCTCCAACTTACTACTGAGTTTTTCTGAATGGAAAAAGCTGCGCGTAGGAGAAAACACAAGCGAAGTAACACAAACGGCAAGCGTTCGTGTAGTGCGTTCCTTCACTTGTGTTACCTCTCATTTATGCTACATTTACCTTCTACTGAGTCTTGGACCAACTAGCCCCAAAAACCTTATTTATGGAATACATAGCGTTATTAGGCGAAAGGCATTACATGACCCAAGCGAACAAGATTTTTAGCGAAAAAGCGACTTACACTAGAAGTCGTTCAAAAAGTAACGTTGTGACGAGCACGCCTCATTGTGGAAGGCGAGTGAGCTACGCTCTCACTTCGCCTTAGCTGTGATCCCTTGGCTTGGCATACTTCGCCTTTGCGAAAACATGATCTGGCCTACTTCATCGTTGCGAAAGTGTGCGTCACGCTTACTTCACGTTACCGAACCGACAAAGCAGAAGATGAAGATTATGGCTCAAAAACTACCTGTCGAATTTACCATAAGATCACAGCGGTGCGTTTTTTTTTTTTTTGGACGGGAAGTGGCAGATAATGCAATTTGTATTTTTTCTTGCTTCATTGATTGTTGGACACCTCAAAGTGAGCTTGTTTGGGGGCGCCGCTTACAGAAATGTGCAACAGCCTAGTCACGTGTTATTTTTCATTATTCACGGGCTTTTTTTATCCGCATGAAAAAATGAGCAGTTAGTACGGTGTTGCAAGTAGCGCTGACAGATGTCGTATCAACATGCGCACACCTGTCTTTTTGAGGTTCAGATATTTAAGTGAGTAATTTTATTTGCATATATCATCATGTATAATTATTTGCCATTAGCAAAATATTTGTGGTGCTCCCGGTGCTATACAGTATGTACTGTTTGGTTTGAGTAACGCCGTTTCCACTTTTTTTTAGTTGTGCTGCTTGAGACTTGGGATGCCCAGTATAATCATTCTTGAAATACACGCCGATCTACAGGCCACGTAAAACCGTTGCTTTACCTCATGATGGGAAATTGAGTGCCAGAAGCAGGTTGGAGCTTTGAAGGATAGGAATGCTGGTAGATGTGATAGGGCTGTACTGTGTCAATGTAGTAAGCTCGTGCGTCAAGTACAATATAGTAATCAATGGACAAGTGGCATTTTTTATAGTGCATTCTATCACTGGCAAGCAGATTTGATTAGCATTGCGCACACATCCGCCGCAACATCTCGGCGTTCAATGCTTACAATGTCGTGTTCTAAATTGTTTCTGCAATGAGAGGCCAGCCTTATGTGCGGGTGTTGTTCAGAATATATTTTAGACGATTACACAAAGCAGTGCAAGCCTGCCTTCGTGATACATAAAGGAGAGTGGAAGGAGGGGGACGACGACACAGTGTTCAAGCTGTTTTTAGTGCAATTGCACTAACGCTCAATAAACATGATCACCAAAGGTGTCAATGCACATAATGTGAAAATTATGTCATGTCTTCCAAAGCTACCACTACAGGTCTCTAATCTATGCGTATTAAAAAAATAGATACTTATTCAATGGCGCATTCAAGGAACGCTTGCGGTAACCCAGTGCATCCATCCATCGCTCCTCGCAAGCTTAGCTTAGGCAAGAGATCGAATGTTTTGTTTGTGAAATAATATTTGTGAAAATAAATTAATGTGCAGCATAGTGGCCGCATACCTCTGACACTGCCTTGTCCACTTCAAAAATGACCCTGTCTTGGCATTCGGGATTGAGGGCCAGGTAGTAAGCGGTGGTGCTGAGGGCCGTTGATACCGTCTCAACGCCAGCCACGAAGAACACCAGCAACTGTGCAGTTATCTCATCGAGTGTCATTTCTGAAAGAATACGGTGAGTTTCACAGCAAGGATAAGGCAATGAATGCGGTAGCTACAAATTGGAATGCCACGCGAAGAATAGCATGCAACTCGAAACTTGAAGTGCGCTGGTCAGGCGCAAATGACGCATGAGAAGAACGCACACAGTAGGAGCACAAACTAACAACTTTTACAGCGCGCCAATAGCAACGCTGCTCAAACGCGAAGGACGCACGAAACGAACGCACAGGTACACAAAGTACGAGTGTGAACTAACAAGTGACACATTTGTTACTTTTTTGTGTTTGAGAAGCACGCTGCAAGTGTCGACTATGCACAACCAACTGCCCTAACTTGGCCGTTCAAGCTGGCAGCTGACTTCTTTTAGGAACGCAGCCGCGGCAGCAAGCGAAATGATCTTTGTGTGCTCTGTAACTTGAACGCAAAGTTCGCAGTGAAAGTACAAGACGTATACAAATTGGCCGTCTCACGACATGAGCTTGTGAACGAGGGACTATGCCTTGTAACTGAGTGTAAGAGCAATGCCTCCTACATTTATTTCCATGCCAGTACAAGTGCGCACTTTTCAATGGAAGCCATCAGTCCGCCTTAGTTCAGGGAGTGATCGAGTGATCGTGATGTGACGCTACATGATGGGTAGCGCTGCTTGCGTTAAACAGAGAAACACTTGGAAAAACAACATAATAAACAGAAAAACACTTGGTTGGCTATTAAGGGAAGGTAGATAGGAAACTGCGCTTTTCAAAACATGTATTCTGTTTATATTCTCAGGCACAAAGCTTGATATTCTTCTGCAAGGAATATTCACACAAAGAATACTCAACTAAACCTAATGCTCAGCTAAAAACTACCACTCCCACTGCAATACTTGTACTTAGGGATTCGGTGTAGATTTATGCTCCTGTACAAATAAATAAATCTCGCTGATATTATTTTTTTTATTTGTACAGGAGCATAAATATACACCGAATCCCTAAATACCTCTCACTGATATCCTTCAGTAAGCTCTGCAGGGGCGGTGGTTATTCCCGCGAGGCACATCACAATTAAATTCATGACATCGCATTTGACGTCGTCGACAGCTGCAGAACTTGCAGCCATTTGTGCAGCTCTAGAGTTTGTAGTGAAATAACCTTCGGGAATTTGGTCGATCTTCTCGGACTCGAAGGCATCTCTTCAATGTCTTATATCACCTTTTCACCATGGACCTAATGAACAGTTAGTAGCTGAAATAAGGCTTCTTCATCACCAAGCAACCGAAAAACAGCACAGCATAGTGTATCAGTGGATACCAGGTCATTGCGGTATATATGGCAATGACCACGCAGATGAGGCCGCTAGATCTGCACACGATGGTACCCAATACACAGCCATCCCGTTCTCAAGAACCGACGCAGCTACAAGACTTCGTTCGCTTGCACGTGACCTCACACTGGTACAGTGGAACTCGACAGACCTCACAAACGCGCGCCTGCATAACTTGGATCCCGATCTGCAGCTTCGTCTTCCCCCAATGATATCTCGAGCTGAGGAGACTCTTCTATGCCGCCTGTGGCTTGGAGTGGCCTTCACGAACGCATACTCTTATCTCATCGGGATGGACAGCTCTCCTACATGTACGTACTGAAGTTGCGAAGAAACCATCGCGCACGTTCTGTGTGAGTGCACCTATTTCAACGTGCAAAGACAAGAACTCACTGCAGCTCTGGATAGACTAGACAATCGGCCTTTGTAGGAACAAAGGATTCTGGGTCATTGGCCGAGCCCATCCTCAGCCCGGAAGGCTTTGAAAGCTTTGCTGTGCTTTTTGCGGACAACTGGCCTCAGAGACAGACTTTAGTGTCTTATACTCTTTGATGTTGCCTTTCCTCTGTCGCAATTTTTTTTGTAATTTCTCCCTCTCTTCGCAACATTTCTTTTTAACATTTTTCATTCCCCTCACCCCTTTCCCCAGCACAGGGTAGCCAGCCGGTCCAAGAACTGGCTAACCTCCCTGTCTTTTCGCTTAAACTTTCTTCCTCCTCTTCCACCTCACTGATATCGTTCTATTCTTTTCAGTTGCGAGAAACCAGTGACACTTACTTCTTCCTTGAGGATTCTCGGGTTTCTCCTGTACACTCTCCTCCCAGTTGTAATCAGCGTTCATGAAAATTTGGAGAAAGTCGTCTTGTTCCTGCATATACGCAGGTAAAAAACATGGGCCTGCTAATTAACCAGTGCATTCATTTCTATTTTGACTGTATAATCAGATGTCATTGCCCGGAATTCATCCGGTCTTGCCAGTAAAATGGTAAAGTGCAACGTTCATAGCCTATATCTCAGCTTTGTAAAAAAAAGCGTAAATCGTACTTTCTGTTATCTCAAATACACAAGAAAAAAATTTGTTTCCATTTCAACGCACTCGATACTAAGCAAAATAAATTATTTGTACCCTGCTATTTCACTCATAGCACATCTAACAATTACACATGCAGGAGAGTCTGATGACCACAGCGCACATGATTCGTGCTTTGTTAAAGCTACGTGAAATAAACATGAGAACATCGAACACTAAGGGGAATGAAGTTGAGAGCTGGGCTAGTTGGTGACTAATCACTATAACGTGTGGTGTAGTAGCTCACTTTTACAGGGCCAACTGGTACAAAATCTAAACCCGACAGTTGCTACTGGAAACATATTAGAGAGAGTATCGAGTGTCGCGTTCCGTTAATAAGTGCGCTACTTCAACATGCGGTATAATGTGCACTAAGTGACTGTATTTGCGATCTGTCTCAATGGCATACAAACTGATTAGCCCAGTAGCACACGTTATTTACTGTACGGAAGTTTCTTAACGTCTATTCCCCACATGCTTGGCCTGACGGTCTCTTTCGTGAAATTCATGAGCATTGCAGGCCCTTAATAATGTTTTGTGACCAACCAACCAACCAATTAAGTTGTGCCCCTTTGAAAATGTCGAGCGTGACGCGTATATGAATACAAACTACGACAAAACTGCGTTTATAAACCTGATAAAGTTTTTTATATATTGTTTTATTGGAAAGGTTTTAAATGTTTTATAATAATAAAGTTTCGAAGACCTGAAATAGAATATAAAACGGGGTGAATTCGTCCACATTCATTCTTTATATGCAGTACAGCCGTGACCGCTACAGAACGTATGGAGAAGTACACAGGAAAGGCATCCTTTGTACTTCTCTGTTTTGCGTTGCCGTCACCGCTACATTGATGCTGCAATGCAGAACGGTGTATTGTCACCACACAGGCAAGCTCAACGACCCAAGTGAAAGTGATAACGGTTTACTTAAACTCAGCCCGTATAACATAACAGATAAGGAGTGTTCCAATTGGGTATAAGCATAGTGCGCTAAAAAGAACGTTTTTAGTGTTCTCGTTAAACTAGCTAGAGGCACAAGACAAATTAAACTGGCTGGATAATTACACAGACATCTTGAACTGGTTGTTGGTTCCTGAGAATTGTAATCACTGTATAATCTTCATGAAACCTCTGGTTCAACCGCCGGTTCAACCGTCTTTGAAACGTTGTTATTTTCAGTAAATATTTCATCTCTTACACAAAGGGCTTATCAAATGCGGTTAAAAAGACAAACGTGAACCTTGTTCTCGTGCCGCTAATTTAGAGCACTTCATTCGGTACGTTGTAAATTAACTTTATTTCTACAACAGAGCAAAGCTCTTTCCTAAGCGGCCATGCTTAGTAGCGCGTGAAAAATGATAATCGCATTTACATGATGTTATATCAGAGAACGATTGGTCATAATGGATGGACTCTTACAAGTAGAAAGACCTAGAATAGGGCACTCTAGTTGCAAGTCAGTTGCACTTCATCACTGCCCCAGACGTGCTAGAATATTACAAATGCGAGGGCGCCACCAACAATGCCGTTTGATATTCCCGGAGCGCCACTTATTTCTCTGTGTAAATCCAAACATATCTCTGTTTTTTACAGAAAAAGTAGGTCTGCTACTTGCCCGCATTTTATTATGGGTTGGTTCATCAGAAACAAACAGCTATTTAATCAATAGAACAACGACTTCTGAAGCTGATAGTAATAATATTTTACACAAAAAACACGAGGCTAATCAGTTTTGACAGTCAGCTCAAAACTGCGCATGCCCCCAACAAATATATATATATATATATATATATATATATATATATATATATATATATATATATATATATATATATATATATATATATATATATATATATATATATATATGCGTGTGTGTGTGTGACAGCATGACTCTCATGGCTGCAGCTGCCCACGCGCAACGTCTGAATTATTTGAAAATAAAATTTTCACGCGAATGAAAAACAAAATCGAAACCATCTCATGGTAAGTTCCGCTAATTTTTAATACCCTGTGTGGCTTTATAATCTTTCTTTCTTTTTCATGATGAAGATAACTAGGCTAACAAGCAGCTTCATAGTTAAAATGAATCATGCAACGTCAAGCTTATCAAACGTTGTCGCTCATCATCCGCACCCACCGAGGACGTCCGCCACGCCGAGTCTGCCCGCCGGGCGAGTTGATTGATTTGTTGGGTTTAACGTCCCAAAACCACCATATGATTATGAGAGACGCCGTAGTGGAGGGCTCCGAAAATTTTGACCACCTGGGGTTCTTTAACGTGCACACAAATCTGAGTACACGGGCCTACATTTCCGCCTCCATCGGAAATGCAGCCGCCGCAACCGGGAATCGAACCCGCGACCTGCGGGTCAGCAGCCGAGTACCTTAGCCACTGGACCACCACGGCGGGGCACCGCCGGGCGAGTAGAGTGCGAGTAACAAAACTTTAGACGCACGAAGGATGTAAGAAACAGCCTTTCAGCTCCGCTAACATGAAACCTGGGGAGGGGTGAAAGGTGCAGTTCGCCTTTAGTTAACGCGCATTCTGCGAATCGGTATTGCTCAACTACGCACAAGAGTAATCTCCCACTGGCAAATACAATGCAGGTCGAAATCTAGTGCGTGTAGATACGTTGTGACCAGTGAATGGCTGTGCAGCGCGTTGTCTCTTGCGGGTGGAAGTAGCGTTTCGATATTCAACGCGCCCCGTTCGCTCTCTCTCGCCGCGCGGCGAACGCTGAGGCGGTGGCGAGAGAAGGTGGTACTACTTTCGCGCTCAAGCACATCGACCGTTACGACAGCAGATAACAGATGATGCACATCGACATGCCGAGATTCTAAGGTGCTTCGCCCCTTAAATTCTGTCGGTGATCATTAAAAGGTGACGAACCCAGCACAAGGTTACGTCGCCTTTGCATTGTTATGTCCCTCGTCTAATGAGACTGAAGCAACAACCACAGCCAAGCTCTCAGCATAGACATGGCGAAATGGGAGCATCCTTTTGAAAGACGTGCTCATGTTCACGACACATAAGAAACTCCTGCAATACAGTTCGTCACTTTACCTGGTTTTTGGACTTGCGTTCTTCCATCAAGAGCGAAACAAATGCCTTGAATAAATCGGTGGACGCCTTTGGGGGATAGTCAGGCCTCACAATCTTGCTCAGTGATGGCATGAGAACTGTAAGAAAGCGGAAATAAGTTGCGATAATTCTCGTTGTTTTTCATGAATCATCCAGAACTTTTCACAACTATAACTATTTCCAGAGTTTTACGTGCCGAAACCGCAATATCGTTATGAGGTACGCTGTAGTGATGAACTGCGTGAACTTCGATCACCTATGGTCCTTTTCTCTGGTAGTTCCTACTTGAGAATACATCCCGGCAAGCGGGCTTCCGGCATTTCATCTCCGTCGAAATGCGACCGGCGCGGCCAGAGTTGGATCAGTCCCCTTTTACTCAATTATCCATACGGCCACAATGGTGGGGCAGAAATCTGCATTATCTATATTAGCGAATACAAAGAGACATTTGCTCATGCAAGCAGAAAAGGGTTTCAGCTGCAATAAAATAAATGCCTTTTTTTCCTATAAACCCTAAAGGAAGCCTTTTCTGAGTTCTCTTTCACACTTTGGATTTGCCCACTTAAACTTCGAAAGCTTCAGGTGTTTGGCGTTCTTAGCACTCCCTTCGCATCCAGCTAATGGGGACATCGAATGCGAAAACATTTCTTGGACTTTTTTCTTTATACAGATCCCTGTACAGAACTATATAGTGTGACTGTTTGGACATGTTCGTAAGACACAATGGAAACATAATACACGCAGAAGGACTAAGTAGAAGAGGCTTAAGATGCACAAGCAACATTTCATGAAAGCCGCATTTTCAAGTTAATTGGGTGGCTACAAAAAGCCAGTTAAGGACGTTCGCTATACAATTCGCATATGACGGAAGCTTTCCACAGCCATCATCATACTAGAGTCTTTATTGTGTATTATATGGGTTGGCAACCACTGAAAAACTATGGTTTCATATCGTGAGTAGCCTGTCTTTTTCGAGGTGTGAACTGATTCTTGTTGGCAAAATGATGGTTTTCACGTGTTTCTGCATACCACCCTAACTATTGTGTAAGCAGTACAAAAGCTATGAAGAAACAAGGTGTTACATGAATCTACATGGTGATATGTTTTCGGCACAGTAAGGTGATGCTAATTCTTCTCTTTGTGAACATAAATGGTGCAATGAAGGAGGAGGAAGATAAACGGTTGACGAGGAAAATAAACGTGAGGGGGTGGTCGGGTTAGCTATTTCTAAGGCCAGCCCTCCACCCTAGCAGTGAAAGGTAAGGGGGTGGGGCAATAAGATGATAGAAAATAGGTGCTATACAAAACGTAAGCAGAAAAAGAAAATGCAATGAAAGATAACACAATAAACAACACTGCTTGAAGTCTCTCTTTCAAAACAATTGTTCGCAAGAAACAGAACAACATTCTCACGACCTTCTTTGGTGGGGACTATCTCAGCCACTGTTATCAGACCTTTTCTTCTAAAACTGGTGATTGTTAAATCTATCTAACACATCTTAAAGTTCTTCTCTTGGTTCACCCGAAGTACGGACTTTCGCAGAGACGACGGGAAATTGCCTCCTCGCAGCTGAAGTTATTGTATGTCACGCTGTTGGTAATTGCTATTCTAAATGAGTATACGCACTCGTCAAGGGCACCACTAGCCATAGACGACTTTGGAGCGTCCTAAGCTCTAGTTATTTCCGACGGAAGAAGCAGCCGGACCTTCGAGCCCAAGTTGTGAAGATGAGCGTACCACTTTTCAAATGCCAGTTCAAGAGCGAGTGATTGAAGCCTCATATATAGTGCCACTCAATTCCGCATTAGTTCTATGGATGAAGAACCAAGAAATTCTCGTTTTGCGAGCCGAGTACTTTTTACTTAATCTAAATGTGAAAATATTTGAAAATAAGCTTCACTTGTATTGGCTGCATCGACATCAAGAAATTGATGTTTAATTGACAAGATCATTCAAATGAATCACTCATCTCCTTGTGCAAGAAAATATGCAATACTCACACAACATTACCACTCTCCAGCCGCCCGTGCTCATATAAATAGATTCCAAAGATTTGATGATTGGGTGGCTCGTGTCATTCTCGCTGTCAATATCGATACTGTAGTTCAAGGCAGCTGTGATGTCGAGTGCCGTGTTGGTGGCGAGCCTGCAAAGAATATTATCCCGCTTTTATTGTATGTATTCAATGGAACGCATAATCGTCGAGATGTTTCACTCGATCGTTTCACAAGCTGTTTTCTCGGATTCGGAAGTATATTCCGTAGTGCAGAATGTGACATTTCCTACAGAGACCATTTAGGAAATTAACCGCGTACGTGCTATGCGTTGTGATTCATGTACGCCAATCATTAGAACGAAACGGAAAATTTTCATTGAAATATAAGCTACCGTTATGAAAAGAGCCTTATACACGGGTCCCAACCAGCCCAAGCCGCTCGTCAGCCAGGTAAAAATCAGTGTTCTGATCGTCATCAGCATTGAAATTCTTTCGGCAGCTGTGAACCCGAAAAAAAAGTTCTTGGCGCACCCTAGGTAATAGTGTTCAGTTGAGACGGGCTGAGTTCCTCTCCGTCAAGCGTAAAAAAGAGCGACCTAGGACCAGCTTGGCGTTAAAAAAAAACTCTTACAGAAAAGGCCATTGTGACGTCGGCTCCATCCAAGGTACAAAGGCTTTCCGGGCGAACAATGAGGTGACGGTGCCATTTTCGAAACCACCATGGTATTCGCTGTTTGCGGTGGCAGCTAAAACTAAACCGGTTGCAGCTGCACCTTTCGATGAGAACGAAGTCCCGGAAACTTGCAGTTGTTAGGGAGCAACTCCTAGCAAACGATGAGGGGTTAGTCGACCACTCTTCATCCTCCCTCTCTCCATAGCAGTGACTACATGGGGTGTCATGTTTGACGATAAACCTGTCAGGCCGCTACATTGTTCTACCCAAACGCAGACAGGCAAGTGCAGCACATGTACTGGGAGCTGTTCTTCTCGAACATCACCCCACTTTCAGAGAGAGTTCTTCGACACCCTAGTCAGCTAGGATCTTCGGACGTATGCGAAGTCTGGGTGTCGTGTGCCAAGCGTTGGTGCGGTGCGTTCGTGACCATATCTAGGAATAGTTTAGACCGTTCGATCTCCACGTGCATTGTGTAGTGTCCTTGCCCACCTTTGTGGTTGGAGCACCAAGACCATCGAGCGCCGCATTGGCCGAAGATTCGGACAATGAACCCAGGGTTGGCAACGTGGCACTATATAAGTGGCATACCTTTGTATATTTTCAGTTCTGCAGTTCTCCAATGAACTCTTACTTACTTGATCACTTTCTGTCGACATCTCAGTTCTTAATGATGTGAATGTATATTTGTTGTTCTTAAGAGCGCCTCATCTGACTTGTTGAACAATGGGTCCTACGACGGGGGACTACTGCCCAAATGAGACACGCTGAGCACGTTGTTGCAACACCAGACTGTCGCACTTCCTACTGCTTCAATGTGTATGATGGTATCACTTTTGTGCATGTAAGTTGCGGCATCTGCTTGCTTTTAGCAGTCGCCGGTGATGTGGTATATATAGTGTAGAAATTCCTCCGTGTCACGGTAAGGAGTCTCGAAGCACATAGGGAAGATGGCGCGTTTTGAGTAGGAATACACTCCGATTTGAATTTTTTTCAATTCATAACCTCATCTACTATTAGATGTTTTTTTTTTAGGAGGGGCATGCACTTGTCGTGTAAAACATTGATGGGCAAACGGGTCCCTTGTGATTGAAGGGTTATAAGTTTGATAACTTCATCCAAATTGGACTCTCTAGGACCTCGTTTCTCTACGAAAGTTTGAGATTGGCAGCATGGTTACTTTTTCGCTACATTTAACTTCTCTTCAGACGCAATTAGTAGCCAATTTTTTAAATATTTGCAAGTGTGTTTTGAAGAAATGGTCAACAATTTCAAGTACTTTGAACTCAACTATGGGAGAGCATCCAGAAACGGAATGAAGTCCACGTGGCCCGTACAACGACATGAAAGCCTAGAGATCAGCCACTGTTGTCAACCTTTTCAGTCACGTAAGCCTTAAGCATTCGTAAGCATTTTAAGGACTTGAAGCATTCGGCATTGTGAACTAATAAAAAAAATTAATACCGTTTTTACTGGGATAAAAGCGAATCGGAGCTTAGTTTGTCATCAAACAAAAAATATATTTTATCTAAAACTTAGCTCAATACTTTTTACGCATTGGGAAGCTGTCCACGAAATAAGAAAAACTGCTTCTTTTCCAAACTATTGCACAAGTGTTTTTAGCCTAGATACGTAATATTTCTTTACAAGCGATACTAAAAGCAAGTATACTTCATATTAGCCCATACATAATATATTTCAGAGGTTCAGGTAAAGAATAAACAAAAATACCAACGTCACAAAAATAGTGGAAAGACATATCCACCGTGTCTTTCAAATGAAGGAAACCAACGAGGCTAAAAACTGACCATGCATTCCAAATACTAGTGCCTTAAATAACATCAAAATTTATCATTTAGCCATTTTATTGCACGTACAAAACGGGTAAAACGTGCTACTTTTGCCAGTAAATGCAAGTTGCAAAAGATTTTGAATGCGCCCTAAAAACGACAAGTTCAGAAAACCGAAGAATAAACCCACCTTGGTGGGAGGCACCAACCAAATTAACAATAAACTTCAGAGCCAGCATTAACTCACCCGCTGAAGTCCACGAGCTCATCCTTTGCCACCGCTTCCTTGACTCGTGACGTCATCTTTCCTGCGACAGTTTTTACCTTCACCAAGATCTGAAATTTAAAAAAAAAATCTTGATAAGCAAAACAACCTTCTAAATAAGCAAGGCGTGCCATTTTGCATTAGAAAAAAGCTCAGAGCGTGATTATATAAGCCATGAAAAAGCGTCATATTCGCGATGTCTTGCCTTCTTTAGGAAAGCTGTAGCACTCACTGACGTCAGAGTGAAAAAAACTTAGACGGCACTCGAGCTTCGCCTTCACTTACTCAATCGCTAGCATAACTTTTCATCTCGGTAGATACCTAAACCATGCAGCAAGAAAAGGAACGTCTTTGTGGTTTCGAACTGACCTTTTCAAACTATCTTAGAATGCCTACTGCAAGAGAGGAGCCACCATGAAATGTGCGGCACCTTGTTTTAGGAATAAAATCGTTTATATACTCTAGTTATGTTTAGAAATATATGGTTTCCGAAATAACTCGTTCGTAATGAAGACAAAAAATGTATAACAAGCCTGAAAGAGAAGCTGCAGTTAGATAACCCTAACATTCAATTTGTTTTGTTTTGCGTAGTAAATTCCATACAGGTGCAGTTACGAAGTACCCACAACGACATCATTCTCTTTCTTTCGAGTTGGCGATGTACTCACTACAGGTGGCAGTGAGCCAACACGCCCACCTGCGCAGCTGCAAACGTCGTTTATGCTGTCACTAAGAATGATACTGAATAATGTTTGTGGGCGTTTTTACTAGTGGGCCTTTAAGCCAGCCACACATTTCAGATCGTTTGCCGCCCGATGTGTTTCTATATACGCTTTTGCGTGCCACGCAGTATTACACGTCATAATTGCACTCGTTGTACTATGAACATTTCTATAGCTTTCATGTTTTGTTTTGTTTTTTAAGACGATAGTCTTTCTTGGAGACCTTCAACACAAAAATTTTGGTCTGTCTGTTTGTACGTTTGTCTGTTTGTCCGCCCTTACGGCACCAAACAGCCGACCCCATCCGCTGCGCCCACCAATATTACTCAAGGTTCAGTGTTCATACTTGTGCGATTGTGAATTAAAAAGCAATTATTGCACATATCTGAGGCACCATAACAACACGTCGATGTTTTGTATCTGTGCATTTATACTAGAGAAGACACACACAAGTAATTCTTTCTGAGGACCATAGGGTTTATCACGCTGCACTGACAGTGCAACGCGATGCTCAAAAAGGTAAGTGCTCCAACGCTTTGCTAAGATGACACTTTGGTGGCACCTGCCCGTCACTTTGCGTTCTACACCTTATCACCTCCGAGACAAGCGTGCATCTTTCTCCGCGGGTGCGCACGCCTTCCTTCGTTTTCGAACTGCCAGATGGCGCTCGTGTCTAACACGCCTCGATGCACTCGTTCATCTCCGCTACACGCTCGAGGCACTAACGCAGCGCCTCCAGAACACCATTCACCAATTTTCTTGCGCAGAACATCAAATAAACGTTTTGTTCATTCTCTACAGACGCAAGACTATCGTCTTTCGACGACATATGCAGTGTAACATGTAGATTCGGGGCCAATTTTCTTTCGAAGCAATTCTGGGCACGGGTATAACTCTGGCTGAAGCAGGTGTCAAAACGAAATCTTGCCACGCTGAAGTGCTGGATTCAATTCACACTTGAACTATGAGATTAATTTTGAATTTGCATCTATCTCGTTTCACACATGGACAACATAGGTTCTGGTTCGCATCCAACGACGCTGACGCCAGCCTTGACAAGATAATTTCTGTGAAACGAGCTCTTTAACGCCCATTTCTTTACCATGGGGTCGATTCGCGTATTTTTAAGGTGCAACACTACGTGGTCAAGGTGGGCCCCATTACATTAAGAAGAAATACGTGATACGTCGGGCCTATTGAGTAAGAAGGTGTGAAACGTGTAAGTTTACCCATTTATCGTGGTAAGGAGAAATTACTAAACAATAACTTTTTACCTGTCTGTAGGTGTTACACGGAAAGCTGCTTTGGGAATTAAATGCAATACTTCGAGACACGATGAAGGATTAGTGTTTGTAACGTAAAAGATAAATAGTAAATACATGAAAGGTTCTAATGTCTCGCAGAAATACGCAATAAAAAATGCTTCTGTAATAATTTCCTTCGCAAGATATTTTCTTCTTTTATGCTTACCGTCTTAAGTCTGGTTGCCGTGAGCGCCGGCGTAAAGATTGTTCGTGCTCTCTTCCATTCCTCTCCGGACAGGTTCATGATGGACTTCTTCCATACTTCCGTCCCCAAGGACTGAGATAGCTGTACAGGGGATAAAGCTGGTCAGACAAGCGTGAAGAGATGCACCTTAGTTTTTTTTTTGTTTGTTGTAGTAGACGTGCTGGGACAATATTCGAGGTTTTTTTTTTTTACGTTTAAAGTAGTCTGTATAGACTTGTAATAAAATGATAAGTAAGGCAAACTAAGTTGACAATTCAAACAAAAAGAAGGTTATCACCACATGTGCTTAGGAATCTAAAGCTATTATTATTAATATTATTATTATTATAGTAGTAGTAGTAGTAGTAGTAGTAGTAGTAGTAGTAGTAGTAGTAGCAGCAGTAGTAGCAGTAGTAGTAGTTGTTGTTGTAGTAGTAGTTTGAACACGAAAAACACCAAATCAAAAGGTGATGAGGAGGGAGGAGGAGGAAGGCGAAGGAAAGAAATGAAAGGCAGGCAGGTCAACCAGACGCACGTCCGGTTTTCTACCCTGCACGGGGGAATGGATGAGTGGATTAAAAGAGAAGAAAGAGAGGAGGCGTAGTAGATTACCGCGCGGGTACATATATGCCTGTCCATTACACACTTATGAGCACTCATTTCATTCGTTCGACTTTAGGAAACTTTAGTAACGCCCGCGCACTTTGCTGGCCTACAAGGCGTAGAGCCATTAAACGAGGACCTTCTCTTCGACAAATGTCTATTATGTAGTTTGTTTGACGGTTTGGGTAGCACGCCATGTTCGCTCACTAAAAATTTAGAGGAACACAGTAAATATCCTATTGTCTCGTCACTATCACATGATTCACAGGAGATAGCAAGGAGACAAGCTGACGAGTCCCACCTAAAGAGCCACAACACCTGCCCACTCCTTGGAAAAGCGGCAAACATACAGGAAAGAAAGATAGGAAGACAGAAAAGAGGGATGAAAAAAACTACAACAAAGACAGCACGCAATTAGGTAGCGACATGGGAAAATGTTTGTAAACATAAGGCCAAATCGGTTCAGTTCAAAAAAGTTAGCAGGGCTCCATGGGCTTAGTCACACCGAGAAGCACATCCTCCAGCTAACAGGCGATCATCAAGGGTCGTGCACTTAATTTCAATAAATCCATATTCTTTCATGAGCAGAGCCCACTGCAAAGTGAATTCAGGACACTCTAAAACCAGGTGTTCTAGTGTACCACAGTAGCCGTAAGACATGCATAACGGACTGTCCATACGTCCTTGACGATATATCGTTCATGCCTTACCTTATATAAGCTAAGAAGCCATGTGCAGTGCCGACAAAAATCATTAAAAATGCGTAATCTGTATGTATCACTGGTTTATCGCAGTTTCTCGGATGAAAAAATATTTCAACCGAAATGTATCAACATACCGATCTATCAGAGAAATTCTTGAATTTCGTCACCATGATCTCTCGCAAGATGTCTGGATCCCCGATCACGAGAGTTGGTGCCAGGCCTTGGTAAGAGCTGCAATGACAACTCATGGATACGTACTTCAACTAAAAGATAATGTTAGCGCAAATAAATGAGTTTGACGCAAAAATGGGAAAGTTAAACGTCCAGCTGACTTCGACAAATACATCTGCAGTGTCTTCACGCATGTGTGCACGTATAGTTTGACGTGTTTGCCCACTCCTTTCCACACGCTCGCTGCCAAACCGACCCAATACTCGCCAAGCTCTCCAGTAGGACCATATGAGAACTACGTTTCATGCCGGTTAACTAACATGATGTTAACCCAGTTGATGTCGCCTGAGTTTGGTTAGAGCAATAGAACACAGCCCTAGTTTACAGAACGCTTTTAATCTAGAATTTTCTGGGAGGGGAAAGTTTAGCTGATCGCGTTACTTGACGTATCATTCGTGCAGACGGCTAGTAATTACCTAACAACACTTATTTGCGGGAACTTTTTTTTGCGGTACCATATTTATTCGATGGTTGGTATTGTCTTAGTTTCTGCCGCTTTGATTACGGTGATTGGCTGCTGACATCACGGGTGCAATGCCGCCATGGCTGTTGCGTTCTGATGGGGGTGAAGCATTAGATGCCCGTGTGAGCGAACATTAAAGAACACCAGATGGCCCAAAGTTCCACAGCCCTCCGCTATGATGCATATTAATCTAATGTGTGTCTTTGCACGTAAAGCTCCAAGTATTATTATTATTATTGCATGGCATGACGTTGCATACAAGAAGGGCATGCGAGGCAACGAAGACACGGATACAAAGCGATTCTCGATAAAGCACCACAAAGCAAGAAGGCACACTTACCCGTACACGCGACCATATTGGTTGTAGGCTTGGATGATCACTTTGTTCACGGGCTGCAGTAATAGATGATACGCAATGCACATAGCGCAATATTTGGTGCTACAGATACAGACTCCGCGTGTACGGATATAGCCAATAGATTTGTAGGGTAATGTTTCCTGATCTACAATCGGTGTCAAACGAAACGCGGACAGTGGCATACATCGGAAATAGTATAGCGCGTACTATTCGATCATCACCCTTTACAGGATTACTGCACTTCGTTTTGGTAACATGGTGCACGTTCACGGTGATTACTATATGGTGCGCACTATGCCATTGTGAATGCTAGCCACTTTTCACGTTTCATTTGACGCCGATAGTACCACAAAATATTTTCCCTTAATAAACATTTCAATATTACTTCAAAAGTTGCGTGCCTTGGATTATTACGCTACAGTCGGTGCACTGCTATGCAGTTTCACTAGAATGCACACTGGCTTAGCTTTGTGGGTGACGTCAATCGAGTTTTTTTTTATTTTAACTTTGAGTAAACATACAGCAAGGGTTATGATTTAGAGAGCATTCTATTTTTTGTGAAAACCTTATTCGTAATTGGAATGTTCTTGCGCTAATTATGGTCACATGAAGAAGGACCACCCACCTTTGTGTAGAGGTCGTAGAGAAAGCGCATGTACTGTCGTAATGTAAGGTGCGTTATTCCCTTGTCGCTCCAAAAAGAGAATGCCCTTCGAAGCCACCTAGAGAACAAGGTGAACAATTTACATTTAGCTACACGAACTGCGAAGAAATATTCACTGTCCGATGCTATTTTCAATAGCATATCATGATGGCAAAAAGCAATGCTGAGAAATGTGCCATGTATGCTGCTAGATACCCCCGGCCCGACCGGGGCAGTAGAAAACCCTCTCCCAAGCAAAACCGAGCAAGTAACAATGTCCAGACTCAAGCCTCAGAGAGAGGGAGAGATGGGCGAGCTGTCCGAAGACACGTGAATTACGGGCGAACAATGGTCCCAATGCTCCCGACAAAGTGCGTCGTCTGTAATGGCCAACGTCCGGAGTTTGCAGGGTTGTGCCGAAGTGTTTTCGACCGAACCAATTGCCCCGGTTTCTGGTACTTGATGAGCCGATGTCCAGACCGAGTCTCAACGTCTCCATGCAGCTTGGTGTCTCCCGCGAAATTCTCCGCAGCCGCCGCTTCTTCGTCATTGAACGCCGCGGATGGCCATCTGCGCAGAACGCAGTAATGAGCCCTCGAGCCTCGGAGGCTGACAGAAAGTCAGGCCGGACCCGGCCCAGGCGCTGCAGCAGAGTCGCATTCACCGAACCACCAAAAGGTGCTCTGCTGCTCCCCCATGCCAAAAATCTGAAGGGTGTGAGCGGAGCATTGCCACCGTACACTGACACACTGTCTGTAGACAACAAGGCGCGGCCCGGTTTTCGTATTTGTGGAAGGGGGGGGGGGGCGAGAACAGTCGACAGAATTCTTCCAGGTACTCCACTCCGTAATGCACATTCGTTACCCCGAAGGTTTTCTTTTCCTTTTTTTTCCCAATGCGGGTTTAGGAAATGAACGTAAACATCGTAAAAGGGCCGGGGTTCAGTCCGTGTTTGTGGGGACGTCACAGATGGTTGGCATTGCCTCAGACTCTGCCGCTGTGGTATCGGTGATTGGCTGCTGGCATCGCGGGTGCAATGCCGCCACGGCTGTTGCGTTCTGATGGAGGCGAAGCGCTAGATGCCCGTTTCAGCGAACGTTAAAGAACACCAGATGGCCCAAAGTTCCACAGCCCTCCGCTATGATGCACTTATTCATATTTGGGTTTTCGCACGTAAAGCTCCAAATATTATTATTATTGGATTACATGACGTGCCATACAAGTAGTGCATACGAGGCAACGAAGACATGGATACAAAGCGATTCTCGATAAAGCACCACAAAGCAAGAAGGCACACTTACCCGTACACGCGACCATATTGGTTGTAGGCTTGGATGATCACTTTGTTCACGGGCTGCAGTAATAGATGATACGCATTGCACATAGCGCAATATTTGGCGCTACAGATACAGACTACGTGTACGGATATAGCCAATAGATAGTATGGTAATGTTTGCTGATGTACAATCGGGGTCAAACGAAACGCAACAGTGGCATACATTGGAAATGGTATAGCGCGTACCATTCAATCATCACCCTTTACAGGATTAAAGCACTTTGTTTTGGCAACACGGTGCACGTCGTTCACGGTGATTACTGGATGGTGCGCACTACACCATTGCGAATGCTTGCCGCTGTTCACGTTTCATTCGACGCCCATAGTACCTCAAAATGTTTTCACCTAATAAACAATTCAATATTACTATTTAAACTTCAAAAAGTGCGTGCTCTGTATTCTTATGCCACAGTCGGTGCACTGCTACGCAGTTTTAGTAGATTGCATACCGGCTGAGCTTAGTGGTGACGTCATGCGAGTTTTTTTTATATTAACCTGAGTAAACATACAGCAAGGGTTATGATTTAGAGAACATTCTCTTTTTGTGAAAATCTTATTCACACTTGGAATGTTCTGGCGCTAATTATGGTCATATGTAAAAGGAACACCCACCTTTGTGTAGAGGTCGTAGAGGAAGCGCATGTACTGGCGCAATGTCAGGTGTGTTATTCCCTTGTCGTTCCAAAAGAAGAATACCCTTCGCAGCCACCTAGGGAACAAGGGAACAATTTACCTTCAGCTACACGAACTGCAAATAAATATTCACTGTCCAACGCTATTTTCATTAGCATATCACGATGGCGAAAAGCAATGCTGAGAAATGCACCGTGTACGC